CCCCCCGGGAGCCATATGTCACCCATTGAGAATGGCTGATCTAAAATATCTGGAGAGCTCTAGGTTGTGGAAATTTGCCTTAATATGAATAGCACAACAGTTGAAGGAACACTTCTTTTAGGGTGAGCAGATGGGGAAAAAAGGGCAAGGTTCCTGGACCTTTAATAACGGGTTAGAAGAAGAAATTTCAAAAAGTACAGCTTTCAATGAATGCTACACCTGATGAAATATTCTCCCCACATTAGTGTTAATGATATAGAAACACTGTTCTTTATTTTTTTTTTATCAGTCCTGAATTAAGGTCTATTTCTACAGCGGTGTTGTGCATGGTAGGGCAGTCTTTCGCAACCTGGAAGCTGGGGAAGGTAATCTGCGAAATGTAAGACAATCCACATTACAGCTTCATATCGTCCTTAAACAAAAATGCAATGAGGCAGAAAAACTGATCTGGCCAGTTTTGCTTTTTTTTAACTGTGCACAGCTTGGAGGGTGGCCACTTCAGTCTTGCTAAAAAGAGAGGATAAAAGAAGATAGTGATTTACATCTCAGTCTTGCTAAAAAGAGAGGATAAAAGATAGTGATTTACATTGAATGCACATAGGTTAATCTATAAGTATGAATGCAGATATAGATAGAATACCTATAATTTAAATAGAAATGCATCTCAATATTTTGGGGAGGCACAGTGAGGAAGGTGATTGGGGCATCTCATCAGTCTACGACCTAGAGTGACCACATGTCCTCTTTTATGGAAGACAGTCTTTTATTAGGAAGGCTGTGAGGGGATAACCCTCAGTTTTAAAGGTGCCCTCTGTTTGTAGGGCTGTGAAATTGAAGTCTGATCTAAAGATCAAAAGCCATAATGAGAGAAAGCAGAGGCCTTAAATCTGTCCAGCGGCAGTGAGCATCTGGCCAACAAGCCTGGCAGGCACACTGAATCACCTAATTAGTGCCCTCTTCCAGTGAGATGACAAGTGCAATGATTCTGTTTAAATTATTACAATATTTCCTAATTTTGTATATGAAAATTCAATATGCAGTTTTATGCAATTCAATAACCTCATTTGTCCTCTTTTTTGGGGTGTGTGCATGCCCCCTTACTGGTGATGTGTAACTGACTACCTTATTGGTTTCCACCTGCAAATCATGGATGGGCAACTTCAGGACTCAGCTTTTCCTCCTTATGGCACTTATATTTTTAGAGATGACCACACCTGGTGAGCAGCTTTTGGAACAAAAGACATCTTCAAAGAGAAGACTGCCTTCTACAAAATAAGACATATGACCACCTACCTAGCCACTGAAAACACTCCATGCTCTGTATATCGCTCTCCATGGAATCTATAAACCTCCTGTTTTCACTATCTCCATGCCTGGATCCAGAATTAAAATTAGAGGAGATGACAAAATATGATTGGTGGGTTGTATTTAGCCTGATGAGTCATAAATCATGCTGACCTGGACATATATTTGTTTTGCAGAAAATATTTTTTAACACTATGAGATGCTCTAATGGCAAGAACCTAAGAAAGGAAATGCCATAAGCAGACAGAAAGCAAACTTGCTTACCTTGTCTTTTCAGCCACCCGCCAGGAAATACAGATATACTTCCCAATGTTGCAATGATGTCATATGGGCTCCTGATATTCTGGATCTTTCTTTCTTATATATGCACATTTTTATTTTGGTAACTGTATTTTCTGGTGCATTCAGGGGAAAGGTAAAGGTAAAGGTTCCCCTTGACAATTTTTGTCCAGTCGTGTTCAACTCTAGGGGGCGGTGCTCATCCCCGTTTCCAAGCCATAGAGCCAGCGTTTGTCCGAAGACAATCTTCCGTGGTCACATGGCCAGTGCGGCTTAGACACGGAACACTGTTACCTTCCCACCGAGGTGGTCCCTATTGATCTACTTGCATTTGCATGCTTTCTAACCGCTAAGATGGCGGAAGCTGGGACAAGCGATGGGAGCTCACTCCGTCGCGTGGATTCGATCTTACGACTGCTTGGTCTTTCGACCCTGCAGCACAGGGGGGAAGCAGGTAGCAAATATCACAGTGTAACCAAACACTCTGATATGATGCTGGGACCCTGGACAAAGTCACTGGTCTTTTTGTTCTCTTTCTGTCTGTGGAATCCAGCATTTTTAGGCGTGTGAGACCAGCAGTATCCCCTTCCTGAGATGACAGTGCCCCATCCTGATATGGAAGAGTGTGTTTTGATGTCATAAAGAATCTTGTGCTTCATAGAGGTAGGGAAGGCAAGTGGTGGGAGGAGAGCCAAATGATTCTAAAAATGGACAAGAGTCCAGGTAAACAGGTCCAGAATTTGCATAAAACATGTTAGGCATCCTTCAGTCTCGAAAGACTATGGTAGCGTGCTCTGTATGGAGGGCTTGGAACAGCGCCTAGTGTGGCTGAGAAGGCTAATTCGAGAGGGACAGTCCCTTCCACACTGCCCTTCCACACTGAAGACAAACCCAGTCTGTCCCCTGTCCGGCTCCCTGGTTTTGCTGCTTATGTGACTTCCTCTTTGCCTCGGCCTGCTGGGCAAGAGTCTCTTCAAATTGGGAGAGGCCGTGATGCACTGCCTGCCTCCAGGCTGAACGGTCAGATGTCAGGGTTTCCCATCTGTTGAGGTCTATTCCTAAGGCCCTCAGATCTCGCTTGCAGATGTCCTTGTATCGCAGTTGTGGTCTCCCTCTGGGAGCATAAAACATAGCTGATCAGATAACATAGCAATCCAGAGCTAGACGGATCCCTTTTTTGGTATCCAGCCAGGCAGAAAAATGCACTTGGCACCTGTAGTGGTGTCATCATTCTTGCTAGAGCTCTCATCACATATGGCCTTAATTCTACCACATGAGACACATAGGAAGTTTTTAAAAAGAGCTACAGAAACCTCCCCTCCAGCCTCAGGAGAAATGTTTTCCTGAAGTCTTGGCACTTGTGCTGCTTCCAGGACATGTGCAATAAGACTCATGAGTCATGATGACAGTAAAACCCCACTTCCTTCCTCATTTCAAAATGGCACAATGCATTCAAGCTCATGCACCCCCAGCCCACCCAAGTCCTCCCCTCACAATTGGCATGCCAACTTTGCAAGCACAACACACATGCAGAAACCTTTGTACCGAGCCGCTCTGCCCTGATGCCACCTGGGAAATGGGCTGTAAAACTAACTCATACTCATAAAGCAAATGTTATCTTCCTCCAGCACTGCTCATCTTATCTGGAAAGGCTGAGAAATCTCCTGAGACTTCAGCCTGTGGCCTGAGGCCCAGCTACCCTAGCTATCTCATTATTTGTGGGACTTCAGGGCAGAAGAAGGCAAGCAAATTGCTTCTGAGCTACACCTCATTCCTGGCCACTTGATACCTCAGTTTGTTCCTATTCAAAATTACGAACAGGAACTGGCAATGAAGTAGCTGGTCTTTCTCCCTCCACTGTTTTTCCAGAAGGGACTGAGATGGATCCCAAGTGTTGCAAGGCAATCTACAGAACTGAGGGGAAACTGTTACCCAAGGAATGAAGGAGAAGGAGAGTCTAGACCTGGTCTCCATTAATTGCGTGACCCACCAAACGCACACCAGGGAGAAAGGCCCTAATTCCATGCTTTGCATGGAAAAGGTTTCAAGTCTAGTCAGTAGCATCTCCATAGGGAACTGAGGAAGAACCCTCTTTGAAATGCCAAAAAGCCACTGTTGGTTCCTATAGTGAATGCTAAATCAGATTGGCCAATGATTAGGATGGGCATAATGCACTCTCTTATGCTCTGTGCAAAACCAACCACATCGCATAGCTATAGCTTTTTTTACAGATTTGAAAACAAGATTTTCAGGTCTTTTGTAGAGAAACTGAAGCCCTATCTGGCAGCCCTGCACAAATTCCACATAAGAGACATTGCGTAGGCAGAGATATTAATCTTCTTTGATCACGTTTGTTGCAAAGCAGAAAGCAATACAACTGCAGAGGGCTTTAGCCAAACTGCTGTCGGATTGTTTTCAAAAGCATTCTGGCTTGCTGTAGGATATCATTTCACAGTATTCAATGCAGGGATTGGGTTCCTGCATGCTCATTTGCCATTCCCAGCTCTGCTCTCCCAGCACTGCAGGATGAAGGCCACTTCATCCCTAGAGCTTGCATGTGGAACAAACAGCAAAGCATGTTGCCATCTGTCTGGCTATGTTTTTTTTAAAATACCCTCGAGGCTTTTCCTCTACCCTTTCTTTCTCACTGATCCCACTGCACAGGGACAGTTGTGTTTGCATAAAATAGTTAAGATAAAAATGTGGTGACCTTGAGTGCATTTTATTTCTTGGTTACAGAGACCTGGGAGACAGCATACATTAGGGCTGAAGTCACCAAAACTGCTAAGTTACTATCTGACCCTGCTTTATTTTTAGAATGCATTTGCTGTTCATGTGCTTCACTGCCAGTACTTTGCCTCTTGAAATGCACAGATAATATAATTGTTTTACACTGTTTTTCTGTCTGTTCCCCAGATCTTGTGTGGGAAGGAGATCCCACGTTGGGTGAATCGCCTGGCCTACTTTAGCTCCTGTATTCCCTTCCTGCAGAGCTGTCTCCCCAAGGAATGGCTGACCCCAGCTGCCCTCCAGAGCCACATCAGCCTCGGCCTCCATAAGGAAGAGCAGGGTGACACAACGGACAATGAATCCCCATCCACTTCTGCAGCTGCTTCTGCTTCAGGCCCTTCGCGAACCTGCAGACATACAAGGGTCTGAACTGTGCCCGTCTGAGCTGCTCTGAAACCTCGCTTCCCCTCTTGCCCCATTTGTGGCTCACCAGCCCTTTCTCATAGACTTTATTTTGGTCCCAAGGACACTCAGAGGGCAATTCTCCAAAGAACACTGGCCTTTGTCCTTTCAAGAGGGAGATGAAAACCTTGCCTATTTTTCTGAGTCATTCTACCACTATTCGGAAAACTGATTCATTCCTCTTGACTTTCTCCAAAGAGTCCTGGAGTATATTCATGAGGCCGCCGTGTCCTCCTTGGTCCAAAACAAAATAAAGACATTGGAATCTCTGGGACCCGAAGGGAAGCCATACTGAGAGAAGTTCCACCTTGTTGGGGACTCTTTTAATCCTCCGCTGCTGCCATCGCCTCCTGCTGTGCACACACACAACAAATGCCTTCTCTCCAGCCCCTCCATGGTGGCATCTTTCCCCACAGGGCACCTCCTTTGAGTACCAAAATAATGGGACTGGAATCAGAGCTCAGTTTCCTCATCCCGAAGACCAGCAACAAGCTCCAGTTCACACTATCCCCCCCCCTCATTTCTGTTGCTTTTTGTAATCACTGGTTTCTTAAGTAACCTGAAGGATAAATGAAAGGTGCTGCCCTTCTACTTTCACAGATTTTTTTTTGTGAACTAGTATATTGTATAAGAGACTGAATGACTCTTTGTCCTTGAGATACAATAGCAGAAACAATCTAGAAATGAATGTGTGGGTCTGTTTTTTATTGACATATAGGGAGCAAAAGCATGAGAGATCTTACATCTTGTCTGGACCTTTAATGCAGGGATGGGAAATATGAAGACTCCCAGATGTTGTTGAATTGCAGTTCCCATCAGCACTCGGCAGCAAAACTAATGGCGAAGGTTGATGGGAATTGTACCAATTGAACAATGCCTTGTAGGGGAACACATATTTGTCACTGCTGCATCAGTCACAGTATGGATCAAAGGAAAAGATGCAAAGTTTCCCATCACTGTTGGTGGGTAAAACTGCGCTTCTTGAATTTCTCCATGTTGTATGAAAGATATGAGGAGGGACTGCCCAGCTAGGCAATTCAGGTGACATGACCAGTTTCAGGCAGCACAGGGATGGGGCAGGGCTGGAGAAGGGCTATACAGTACGAAGTGAGAAATCAGTGCCTGAAAAGTGTAACAAACTTTTTTTAAAAGTCATGTCCCTCACAAAGGATGCTCAGACAACAAACCCAGCAGTCTGGACCATGGCAAAGGGAAACCCATGAGTGATCAACTCCTTGCTATTTTTAAAGCTCAGTGGATAATTTGTTCTATGTACAAGAAATGTTAACAGAGAACATTGCTATCACACATTCAGTCTTATCTGAGCTGCAGCGTAGTGTCCTTTCTGTCCCAGGCATACCCCAACGTTAACAATGGCCTTTCTGGATCAGACCATGATTTTGTTTATGCCAGAGCAGGCAACAGTATCCCACAGGCACTGGATTACAGCTCCCATCAGCCCAACCAACATAATCAATGGCGAGTCACAATAAGCATTGCTATCCAGCAACATCTGGAAGCCCACATGTTGCCCACCCAGACTCTAGACCAACATTCTGGTTCTTGTAGCCAGCCAGGTGTCACAAGGAAGCTCACAAGAAGGGACTAACAGTCACATTTTGCTTTGGTCTCACAGTAACGAGTCTGACAACAAAAAATTTACACAAAACGTCACAGGAGGGAAATGTTTGGAATACCAGGTGTAAATACAGCTAGAATGCTTCAAATCTTGTTCCTGCCATGTTGATTCATTTTATTTGCTTTATTTATATCCCTCCTTTTTCCACATAGCGGGACCAAAACAGACTTACAAAATATTATATTCAAACAATTAAAAATAAAATACGGTAAATTACAATATTGCAAAACTATACACATTTCATGTTTAAAATGTAAAATAAAAACAGTTTAAATGTAAAAGCAGATCTACGGTGCAGTCCAAATTAGCTGTAGTGGGTCTGGAATGGGCAAAAGCCTCTTGTTCAGCCCCCTTTTGCTGGCTGACCTCAGATCAGTCGGCCCAACTGGATCGGTCAGTGCAACTATTGTAGTAGACATACCGTGCTACCCCCAAAATAAGACAGGGTGTTATATTAATTTTTCCTCAAGAAAAAAAAAAAACCCGCCACAAAAAAAAACCACTGCCTCAGCTGGCTTAGTGTTCACTCAGCCAACCCTCCACCATCTTGGGACATGAGGACTGCACTCTCAAAAATATAACAGATATAAAATCCACACAGCCACTAGAAAACCTTCTCCTTGACTGCCCCTCACTTACTAAAAGCGTCCCTTTCAATTCCCATCAGCCCCGTCCATCATGGTCAATGATGACAGATGGTGTGAAGCTGCCACTGCAGCCAGAGTCCGGCAGCCCTAAGGCAACTTTTAAAAGAGGATTTTTTTCCCCCCTTGTTCTTCCCCTCAGGCCAGTCCTACTTACACAGAAGTGCCATTCCCACTGGGAACTCTACCTTTTTATTTCATTTGGGTTTGAACGAGTAATGTGCTTGGCTACTAGAAGTGTCTATACTTTGTCCAAGTCTTTTGATTTTCAGCTATCGACTGAAAATCTAAGAAGCCAAACTGGTCAACTGCCAAGTCATCATCTAGCCAGGACAGGGAGGAATCATTTTAGCAAGTGCCTAAACAAAAACTAGTGATTATTATTTCTTTGCTTGACCCAACACAAAAGCACTCCTCCTGCAGCTCCATTTATATGCAAACTTTCTTTTGCTCAGCAGCATCTCCATTTCAGGTTTGCCATTCTGTGGCCTGTTGTGCCATTTGTTTTCTCTTCTCTGCTATTGTGTTCATATTTCAAGACATTTCAGTTACATATTACACTGACATCAGACTCTGGAATAATTGCATGACTTCTAGACCGAAGTCACATTTCATTTTTCAGTTCCTTGTATTGTGTATGTCTAGTTTCGGTCTCTTTAGCAAACTGAAGCAATGCCCTCAATCTCACTAGCCAACAGAAGTATAAATTATGTGAATAGGTGTTAACACAGGATACTGAACTTTTGTCAGTGTGCAATATCTGTTCTTAAGTGAACAAGCTTCAATTTCAGTCCTTTGAACAGGAACATAGCAGAGGGTTTTCGGTAAACAACAGGTTGAGAAACAACTACCAAGATTTTTAGAAAGGAGTGAAAGAGACAGCTAAGAACTCATTCCTGATTGCCTCCACCATCTTGATTTGATGTTGCCGTTCACACTGATAGGACAAATAGCCCTATTTTAAGAACCCACAATGCGCTTCAATTTCTGCAGAATAATGGCCCTACTCTTCGTGTCTTCTTTTCAACACTCCCCCTTCTCCCATCTGTTTGTCAGCAGTCATTTTGGGAGCAATTAATTATGTCTGCAGAAAAATAATGCACATCAAAGGTTTGTACATGCAATGCAATTTATCTTGCAAAACCAGGCACAGCAACTGCATTAAGAAATGACATGAACTGACAATTGGAATCAAGCAACCAATGTAGTGACAACTTTCACACAATCAGCAGTTAAGTCCTATTCTAGCAGTGGGTTGTCTGTAATTTGGGCCCTTAGGCAGCAGTTCTATTGCATACTTAACTTCAAAATAACATTCAGTGAAAGGATTGCAAGTTACTACCACATCAGTGCCTTTGTGTCTTCTTCTTTTCAACACTCCCCCTTCTCCCATCTGTTTGTCAGCAGTCATTTTGGGAGCAATTAATTATGTCTGCAGAAAAATAATGCACATCAAAGGTTTGTACATGCAATGCAATTTATCTTGCAAAACCAGGCACAGCAACTGCATTAAGAAATGACATGAACTGACAATTGGAATCAAGCAACCAATGTAGTGACAACTTTCACACAATCAGCAGTTAAGTCCTATTCTAGCAGTGGGTTGTCTGTAATTTGGGCCCTTAGGCAGCAGTTCTATTGCATACTTAACTTCAAAGTAACATTCAGTGAAAGAATTGCAAGTTACCACCATATCAGTGCAAATAAAGGTGTGATGTATTCTTCGAAACGGGGATGAGCACCGCCCCCTAGAGTCGAACACGACTGGACAAAAATTGTCAAGGGGAACCTTTACCTTTACCTTTACAGTGCAAATAAAGGTGTAATGTATTCTTTACTTGTGGTTCTGTAGCAGGATTGGGCTCTGCCATTCCAGCTAGAAACAGACTGGATACTTCCAGACATGAAGGCTTGTTCCAGAAAGTACTTCCAGATAGAGCTGCACATAGATTTAGGCAGTTGGCTCCAGAGGTTGGCAAAAAATGAATTTATTGGATCACAGCTCCCAGAGTTCTCCATAAGCCATGCCAGCTAGGGGATTCTGGAAGCTGTTTTTCAAAAAAGCCACTTCCCCAAACTCTGAAAGGATGCCTTTTCTCTTCCTGTGTGGCTTCACCAATACTGGTTCCACTAACCTTTCATTCATTTAGGGCTGCATTCCATAAGGAATTTGTGTGGCACTGGCTATGTGCATGTGTCGGTACTATTTAATTATTATCAATTTTATTTTTAGCCCAGTCTTCCTCTACTCCAACTGATACAAAATTCCTCCCTTCTATTCTCACAAGCACCTTGTAAGGTAAGTTATTAGAATAGAATACACATCCTTCAGTCTTGGGAGACTATGATATCGTGCCCTGCATGGAGGACTTGGAACAGCATCTAGTGTGGCTGAGAAGGCCAATTTGAGAATGACAATCCCTTCCACACTGAGGACAAATACAATCTGTACCCCATCTAGTTCCCTGATTTTGTTGCTTTCGGGACTGCCTCTTTGCCTCGGCCTGCTGGACAAGGGTCTCTTCAAATTGGGAGAGGCCGTGATGCGCCGCCTGCCTCCAGGCTGAACGCTCAGATGTCAGGGTTAAACTGATCTAATGATACCAAATAAGTCCTACAGCCAAGCAGGGATAGAGATTTGATCTCATGTCTCTTAGGTCCCCTGACAATTGTTCTGCCACACCAAAGAGTTCAAAAAGCCTGTTATATGGCTGACAGTTAAAATACTGGCCAGCACTGAGTAATAAATTGCCTGAAGTTGGCATATGATGCCAAATCTCCCTTGGCCTGTGTATCGACATTGATTTAGAAGAAACCCATCAAGGTACACTGGGATACTTTTGGTTCCACATTCCATGATATATCTCCCTTACTTCCCCCCAGAATCATGATATTACATTATTACATATCAACTGTACAGGTTGGACTGCTACATCTATGTGTAGCACAGTGCAGTGGTAGCTTCAAGTTCTGTTTTTCTTGTTTTTGTGACTAAATTTACACCTAAAATTAAAATCTGAGATTTGAAAGTTATTGGTGCACAAGAATAATCCCATCAGTTATCAGAATCGTGAGATTATTTGTTCTCATCCTGAAAAATAAGATACTCCTTGATGTCACATTGTGATATGAGAGATCACATTGTGAGAATTCAACACAATGATCAGAAGCTACCCAAACCAAAATGAAGGAAATTTGAAAAGGACAATACTTCGCATGTCTATATCCTGCTTCCCCTTGCAAAGAAATAATCTACATAAATGTTTGCTCTATAGTGGAATAAGCCACTGAAGATTTCCCCTTAATATTTCTGGCTGACAGTGTGGAATCAACTAAGAAAACATTCTTCTTTCTTTTTTAGGCA